GTCTGCTTGGAGGGGAAAAGTAAAACCGAAAACGCCGCCCACCTGCGGCCGCAGTGGAAAATAGGAAGTGCCATCCTGCTAGTCACTGATGTGGCAGGTAATAAAATATTGTCAGCTTGATTTACCTGCTAGAAATGTTCGCTTCACGGTATTCCCCGAATTGTTTTTTGGCGAACCCGGCGGCCGCGGTGTCGGCGGGCCCGGCGCCTCGCAAGAAAGGGAGCCAAGGGCCAGTAGTTAATTGCTGCGGCTCGCGGTGGCGGCGGTCGTTTTTTTTTTGGGCTGCGCCGCCGTGTTCCGGAGGCCTGGGCAAGTCCAGCAGAGTTTCCTCCTAACAGCTGCGCGCGCCGACGTCTGGCGACACCTATTGCGCCGTCGATTCGTCGGTGGCAGCTTCTCCCGCAGTGCGCGGGGCGTGGGATTGAATCCGGGCCCCGTCCTATGTGTCACTCGGCGGACGCTGGCGGTTTTTCGAGCGAGGAGAAGTGGATTCCCCTTGTTGTGTGGTTAAAAGAGGGGCAGAATGCGGGTGTAGGGCGGTTGGGGTGGAAGCAAAAGAAACGTAGGTAGGTGTCCTCAAAAAATCCGCCTGCGCAAGCTGCCCTGGTTCTCCTCCGGTGTGAGGCATGGAGTGCCCATCAACGCCAGTTGTAACGTTGTCTTCTACTTTTGCTCCTCAGAGTTGTGGTCGTTTAGTTGGAGAGAAGTGCAGGGCACGCTGAAAATTTATTTGGCCGAACTGCACGAAGGTGTGCCTCATTGGCCGAAGCAAGAGGCGCATATCCAAATATTTTAATCCATCATGTGGCAGGTGCCGAAAAAAGTGATTTTTCATAATTACAAGAGACGAGCTGACTACTTCACGGGTTGGCAAAATTATGTTTGAGTTGAAGAAATGTTGAGTTGTGTAAATTTTTTCATCAAACTCAAATTGGCACAACGCCAATCCCCGTCGCGAGTGGGCGGGGGCTTAGCTCAGTGGTAGAGCATTGGATTCCAAATCCAGGGGTCGCAGGTTCAATCCCTGCAGTCCTCAACGTTTTCCCTCGTTTTTTTTTCGTTCGTCGTCCCCCCGCCCACACGAGCTTTTCCGGCTTCCTTTGCTCGAGGCCAAGGCCCTCGCCGCGCG